GAAGGCAGCTGAATTATCTTAAAAGCTTAGGGCTTGGGTACATAGGAATGTAGAGGAGTTTATCTAAATAGTTTGTTTACTCAGGCAGTCCTAAAACCAACATTTAATCTTAGGCTGGGGGAACTACTCTCAGGGAGGTCGGCAGTGTCAATTACCTTGTAGTGGTGTTTACTCAAGACCTTTGTCATTTAATCTGTACTAAATAAATGTGTACTTCCCTGACTGATCAGGGCCAAGGCTGTTAACTCTTTACCAGACCCCTCTTGGTACTGGTGAGTGACTTGGTCACCTAACCTGCTCTTTCACTGGATATTTGTGTCTGAGTGTATTTGTTCATCCATTGCTGGGTTAGGGTCTGCCGGTTGGACCCAGACAGTTGGTGCCCAGTGTGAGGACCTTGCATGTTGGTTCCCAGGTCTGTGGTAGGGCTGCAAATAATTGCGACAGAACCCTCGAAAATGAAGGTGAAGACTGTGCGGTTGGTAAGCCAAGACTTTGCGGGGCAGACAAAAAGCAGCACAGACAAAAAGTGGCGCCTATGCAAGCACAGTGCGACCACTGCCCAGGACCTGTTTCGCTGCCCTCCAGCTCCACGGGCGGCTCATGGTAAAATTTCATGTGTTCTCTTTTATATAAGGAACATCTCAAATTATAATTCTCTGATAAAATTTAAGCTAAATTTAAATTATAATTATGGTCACTGTTTTTCCTCTGCTACCCCTGATGTGGCTCTCTCAAAATTTTAATTGGGTAGAACAGGGAACCCTGAAGGGAGAGAAATTACAAAGAGCCCATGAATTAGTTGAGGAACAATTAAAAGCCGGCCATACAGAACCATCTAACAGTCCTTGGAATTCACCCATTTCCTCATTCCCAAAAGTCTGGCAAATGGAAACTTTTGCATAACTTATGTGCTGTTAATGCTAATCTACAGCCTATGGGACCCCTTCCCGCATGGCAATTCGTCAAGACTGGCCTATAATTGTGATTGACTTAAAAGATTGTTTTTATACTATTCCTCTTGCAGAACAAAACAGAGAAAAATTTGCATTTACATTACCAGCTATTAATAATGAAAGGCCAGCTTGCCGATTTTATTGGAAAGTGCTACCTCAGGGATTGCTGAATAGTCCTACCATGTATCAGTAACATGTAGATCAGCCTTGCTCCCCAGTGGAAAAGAATTTTGTAATAGCAAGATTATTCATTTTATGGATGATGTATTACTGGCAGCCCAAAGAGAGCCAGCACATTTAAGTTTATATGCCTGTGTCATAAAGAATACACAGTTGGCCGGATGCTGTAGCTCACGCCTGTAATCCCAGCACTTTGGGAGGCCGAGGCAGGTGGATCGCGAGGTCAGGAGATCGAGACCATCTAGCTAACATGGTGAAACCCCAACTCTACTAAAAATACAAAAAATTAGCCGGGCATGGTGGCGTGCGCCTGTAGTCCCAGTTACTCGGGAGGCTGAGGCAGGAGAATGGTGTGAACCCGAGGGGCAGAGGTTGCAGTGAGCTGAGACCGTGCCACTGTACTGCAGCCTAGGTGATAGAGTGAGACTCTGTCTTCAACAACAACAACAAAAAAAAAAAAATCTGAAAGTGTTACAGTAGGTAGCTGGTCAGACATGAGAAGGGCAGGAGAGATCCTTCCACCACCCCCATATTAGAAATGGCAAGTGATCACAACCAGGTGATGGTCAGGTCAGTTGCTTGTTAACTGTATCTATAAAGTAATAATTGGCTGCAGGTAGTGCCAGGGAGATACAGTCTCACAATAGATAGAAAAGAGCGGAAACAGGTGATCAGTAGCTTCCCGATAAGTTCTCAGAAGTTGAGCCAGTGGGCTCAAACATATGCACTAAGAGGCAACATAATAGGGTTTTCTGGTATGTGACCTTCAGGGCCTTTTTTTTCTTTTATTTTCTTTTTCTTTTTAAATTTTAGAATTTTTTAGGAACCCTGTTTTTAAATTTTTTGTCATTTTATTTTATTTTTAAATCTATTTTTCCATAGGTTTTTGGGGATTTGGTATTTAACTACATAAGTTCTCTAGTGGTGATTTGTGAGATTTTGGTGCACCCATCACCAGAGCAGTATACACTCAAATCAATTTGTAGTCTTTTTTCGTTCACCCGCTTCCCACCCTTTTCCATAAGTCTATTGTACCATTCTTATGCCTTTGCATCCTCATAACTTAGCACCCACTTATGAGTGAGAACACATAGTGTTTGGTTTTCCATTCCTGATTTACTTCACTTAGAATAAGAGTCTCCAGTTTCTTCCAGGTTGCTGCGATTGCCATTAATTCATTCCTTTTATGGCTGAGTAGTATTCCATCATGTATATATGACAATTTCTTTACCCACTCATTTGTAGTTTACGTTCCCACCAGCAGTGTAGACGTGTTCCCTTTTCACCGCTTCCACATCGACATCTATTACTTTTATTTATTTATTTTTGAGATGGATGGAGTCTTGCTCTTTCACCCAGATTGGAGTGCAGTGGCATGACCTTGTCTCACTGTAACTTCTGCCTCCCAGGTTCAAGCCATTCTTCTGCCTCAGCCTCTGGAGTAGCTGGGATTACAGGCATGTGCCACCTCATCCGGGTAATTTTCTTGTATTTTTAGTAGAGACAGGGTTTCACCATGCCGTGCACACTGGTGTCAAACCCCTGACCTTAAGTGATCCGCCCATCTTGTACTCCCAAAGTGTTGGTATTACAGGTGTCAGCCACTGTGCCTGCCCAACAACTGTTATTTTTTCTTTTTTTGTTTATGAACATTCTTGCAGGAGTAAGGTGGTATCACATTGTGGTTTTGATTTGCATTTCCCTGATCATTAGTGATATTGAGAATTTTTTCTTATCTTTGTTAACCATTTGTGCATCTTCTTTTGAGAATTCTTTATTCACGTACTTAGCCCACTTTTTCATGGGATTGTTTGTTTACTAATTTGTTTGAGTTTCTTGTGGATTCTAGATATTGGTTATCTTTCAGATGTATAGATTGTGAAGATTTTCTTTCATTCTCTGGGTTATATGTTTAGTCTGCTGACTGTTGCTTTGCTGTGCAGAAGCTCTTTAGTTTAATTCTCACCTATTTATTTTTGCTTTCGTTGCATTTGCTTTTGGGTTCTTGGTCATTAACTTTTCACCTAAGCCAAGGTCCAGAAGGATTTTTCCAATGTCATCTTCTAGAATTTTTATACTTTCAGGCCTTAGTTTTTAAGTCCTTGATTCATTTTGAGTTGATTTTTGTATAAGGTGAGAGATGAGGATCCAGTTTTATTCTTCTACTTTGGCTTGCCAATTATTTCAGCACCATTTGTTGAATAAGGGGTCCTTTACCTATTTTATGTTTTGGTTTTCTTTGTCAATGGTAAGTTGGCTGTAAGTATTTAGGTTTATTTCTGGGATCGGTATTCTGTTCCATTGGTCTATGCGCCTATTTTTATACCAGCACCAAGCTGTTTTGGTGACTTTGGACGTAGAGTATTGTTTGAAGTCAGGTGATGTGACCACCAGATTTGTTCTTTTTGTTTAGTCTCTCTTTGGGTATGTTGGCTCTTGTTTGGTTCCGTATGAATTTTAGAATTGTTTTTTCTAGTTCTGTGAAAAATGATGGTGGCATTTTAATGGGAATTGCACTGAATTTGTAGATTGCTTCTGTCAGTGTGGTCATTTTCACAATAATGATTCTATTCATCCATGAGGATGGGGTCCATTTTCATGTTTTACATCATCTATGATTTCTTTCAGCAGTATTTTGTAGTTTTTCTTGAGGTCTTTCACCGCCTTGTTTAGATATATTCCTAGTTATTATTTCTTTATAACTACTAATCTAAAAGGGGTTCAGTTCTTGATTTGATTCTCTGCTTGGTCACTGTTGGTGTGTAGCAGAGCTACTGATTTGTGCACATTAATTTTGTATACTGAAACTTTGCTGAATTCAGTTATCAGTTTTAGCAGCTTTCTGGAGGAGTCTTTAGGGTCTTCTAGGTATAGAATTATATCATCAGTAAACAGAATCAGTTTTACTTCCTCTTTATCAATTTGGATGTCCTTTATTATCTCCCTTGTTTGATTGATTTGGTTAGGGCATTCAGTACGCTGTTGAATAAAAGTGAGAGCCAGTGGCCATCCTTGTGTTGTTCCCCTGCTGAGAGTGAATGCTTTCAACTTTTTCTCATTCAGTATTATGTTGGCTGTGGGTTTGTGTGCCAATTTTGCTGAGCGTTTTAATCATAAAATGATGCTGGATGTTGTCAAGTACCTTTTCAGTGTCTATTGAGAGGATCATGTGATTTATAAATTCTGTTTATGTGCTGTACCACATTTATTCA